ACTGCATGCTTCAGCTAGAAAACTCTGACTCTTGCTGTTACAGCCTTTGCTGCTGCTACATGAGATTAGCTTACTTCGTAAGCGGGAAGAAGGTTCACCTTCTTTGCCCTGCAAGCAACTAGAAAGGGCATCCTAGGACAGTGATATCTAATTGCCAGAGCTAAGCCAAAAGGAACTTTGTCATCAGCCACTTCTAGCTGCAATAAAATGCCATCCTATTCCAGCTCCTAGTACATTCAGTGCAGACATAGAGGCCTTAACGGCCTTCTTGCTCCATCGCCCTCTAGTGATGCGGCTCTGGTCTCACTCCTGTGTGAGTAGGTGTTTCTTCCTTTTCTCAAGCCAGAGATGCAAGGGTTGCATTAACTTTAAACTTAGTAAACTGCCCCTCAAGGTTACGTGCAATAAACACATGCAGCCTCTGAAGCGACACTACAGTTTGAGGAACAGCATTGCAGAAGTTGAACATGAGCCAGCACACCCTTGCAGCATAAGGCTGGGCTGCAACAGCAGGCTCTGGAGCCAGCAAATCAGACAGTTCTGACCCTCTGCTCATACCTCTCACAGCTGTCAGAGCAGACCTGGAATACCACATCCAATTTTGTTTGTACAAGAAAGGCAGTGACATACCGGAGCAAGTCAAGCAGAAGGCAGCCAGGATGGATGGTGGAGAGAACTGGGTTTGTCCACCCGTAACAGAAAGCTGAAGAGAAATCTTACTGCTGTCTGCAGTTACTTTGTTCATGGGAGGGGATAGAACCAGGCTCTTCCCAGGGCAAGAGTCAACAGCCACAACTTGGAACATAGGAAATTCCAACTGGGAAAGAAAAGTAGTTACAAGATGAAGTGAAATCCCTATCCTTGGAGATCTAGAGAACTGAAGTAGGTTGTATGGGCTTACTCTAGCTGGGCCCGTTTTGCACAGGAGCTTGGACTACATGACCTCCAGCTACTTCTACTCGCAATATCTAAGTGATCCAGGCTCACACTATCCTGTGCCTAGAACTGCAAACAATTGGTGGAACACTTTTTGTCATTGAAGGCAGGTTTCAACCCAACCTCCACACTTGAAGTACAGTGCTGTAGTAGCAGCTTCCAACTCTGTGGGAGTTTCCAACAGCCCAGCTCCTAAATACCAAGTAATTACACAGCAATAGCAAAACTTGAGTTCACACATGTACTTCATGGTATGCCACCACCTTAAGTAAGCACCTGGAAGGTATGAATTGCTCTGCCTACTCCATTAGCTTTCCATAGCTGATAACTAGCTATGTCACTTCCCTTCTGCTTTTGGTTCCTAACACTAAAAAGACTAAAGCAACAGAACCAAGAAGCTAACTTCAACACGTTTCACATCAAGGAAGGCTTGAACAGTCTCCACAGAAGAGCTATACTGCCAAGAACAATTGGAAGCAGAATAAGCATTGTCTATGCATTACAGGTCTTAGCGTAGCTCAAGAGGGATCAGTGAGCATTTGCACAGATCAAACCCATCGCATGCAGGTATGTCATGATTTAACCCCAGACAGCAACTAAGCACCACACAGCCGCTCACTCACTCCCACCTTGGTGGGATGGGGGAGAGAATCAGAAGAGTAAAAGTGAGAAGACTCAGGGGTTGAGGTAAGAACAGTTTAATAGGTAGAGCAAAGCAAAATAAGGAATTCATTCACTCCTTCCCATCGGCAGGCAGGTGTTCAGCCATCTCCAGGAAAGCAGGGCTCCATCACGCAGAATGGTGACTCGGGAAGACAAATGCCATCACTGCAAACATCCCCCCCTTCCTTCCTCCCCCAGATTTATATGTGAGCATGTCATCATATGGAATATCCCTTTGGTCAGTTGGGGTCAGCTGTCCCAGCCGTGTCCCCTCCCAGCTTCTTGCACACCCCCAGCCTACTCACTGGTGGGGTGGTGTGAACAGGAACGAAAACACCCCTGTGTTATCAACTGTTTCCAGCACAAATCCAAACCATAGCCCCATACTAGCTACTATGAAGAAAATTAACTCTACCCCAGCCAAACCCAGCACAGGGTATTGAGGCAAGCCTGGCTAGCTGATCGCAGGCCATTGGCATGCTCATGAGCTGATGTGCCATCTCAGCCCTTTGTGGGGAGATACAGTGGCAGAGAAGCACCTGTGCAGTCCGCTCTCAGGCCAGGTGTTGCTTAAAACCCTACATCATGGATTTCTGATGAACAGTGGTTTGATACCAAGACTTCTGCTCAAGAATATTAGTCTGCCTGTGCCAGATTACTATTCCTCCCTCCAAATTCTACTGACCTGTGGAAAACCCTGATGCTGAGGGAAGGTGTCAGATTTTTCCAGCAGTCTCCTGCAGGCTGCTGGTCTCCACCCACCATCAGGTCAATGCTCTTCCTTAAAGACAGACAATTGT